TATATATAAAAGCAACAATTTGGTGATCAAATTGGCATCAAGTTACATATCAAAAAACATGCACTCAACATAAAGTGCCGTGCTAGCTAACGGTCCTTGGAATAACGAACTGAATGTGACAGATTCATTGACTAAATTCATTCACAATCTTACTAAAAATAAAATGCCAATATGTTGCCAATAACCTAATGTTATTAAGAGCTACAATTAATTTGACGTGGCTAATTTTGTTAAGTCATACTTTATTTGTATAGCCCAATCTCACAAATCACAAATGTGCCTCAAGGGATTTGTTTATAGATTGTCATGAACGAGCTCAGGATTAATGTCGGTTGTCAGCCATCTTCATAAATCTCCTTTTAGATGTTTGGTGGAACGTCACTGCTTTAATGTTATCAGACATTTTAGTTACTTGTTAACTGGACTTTCCTGACTTTAAATGAGCAAGTAGTGACTGCCCTGAAGGGCCCCTGGGGTCTTCTGGGGACCCCACTTTTGGGATAGCAACTACCCTAACAACAACAACAACAACAACAAAAAACATTGTCCCTCTCACTGTGTATGTAGCAGGCAGCCGCCCTCTGCCTCATAAAAGAGTTGTTGTTTACTACAAAGCTCTCTGCTTATCTCAGGTTTCATCCCCTCAGGTACTGCTGAACTGTCGTACCCCCAGAAGGAGGGGCTGTGACATAAAACAAACACAGATATGCCAGGGTCACAGCCTGGAACACCTCCTGCAACCTGACACCACTGTGGGCAGCCAACCAGCAGGCTAGCATACCACGTGGCAGGTGTCTGTGTTTGTGGGTAAAATTCTCACAGATGCATAAAAACATGCCCACACACCACTGACTCATGTGTGGCACAGAATCTGTTTCTATGGCATCTTTGTAGAGGCATACATGGCTCATTCTCAGACTCTGAGTCATGCAAACACAGAGCAAGCCTAGTAAAACATTTAGCTCAGTGACCTTAAGGTCAACAGTTTGACCTCAAACCTGACCTCATCTGGTTTCCTGATGTGCTCTTAACACTGTCCGTGCGTGGGAGCCTTCACCGAGGGCCACAAGCTTCTGAGGACAAAAATACAATTATTAGACATTTATTATTCCAAAATGTATCAGGTTGGCATTAGCTTGCCAAAATGTCCATACACATAGTGTTGCTTGTGTCATAAAAACATCAAAATTACTACTTTGATCTTGTCAGAAAAGTACAGCCATAAAAACCAAATAGATCTGACTGTTACTCCCTTTGAGGCGCTACAAATAATTTTGTGGAGAAGCAAATTTGTCCAGCAAGCTCAACTCTGGGCAACGCTGCTTTGACTGGAACCTTCGAATCTGTGCATCCATCTCAGTCTGTGTACAATTTAATATTTTGAACTTCTCTGTGCCTGAAATGACAGAGGGGAAAATAAAGATGGAGTACAGCATGTCAGTAAGAGCCCTCTTGTGGTCTGTGGACAAATCTAAACAATAAGGGTGTGGACCTTCCACATGTGTTGGACCAGACTCATTCTAGTTGAGATAAGGATGACTTTGGCTGAAAATGAACCCAGGTACTCATTCACAACAACATCCATGAAATTTGTTAAAGTACTCAGCAAGACCCCAAACCTCCCTGTTACGCACAGAGGCCAATTCTTTGAAAGTCTAAATGTATAAAAACCTATTCAGATATGTACATTACATGCTTCTGAATGACATGATTCAATATTATGTCACTTTTACACTGTGGTGGAAGAAGTACTCAGACTGTAGCGATACCACTGTGTAAAAATACTTTGTTCCAAGTAAAATCCCTGCATTCAAATTGTTACTTAAGTAAAAGTACAAAAGTATTTGCATAAAATATACTTAAAGTATTAAAAGTAAAAGTACTCATTATGCAGAACTACACAGTTCACATTCATTTAATCATATTATTGGACTAAATAATTACTGGCATATATCACAATTAATGTTATAGCTGATAAAGGTAGAGCTAATATTTACCTTAAATGATTATACTTTAAAGTACTTTACATACTGCCAGGTAGCTTGTGAATTTCCCACCAGGGATCAATAAAGACTTGTGATTATAGTGTATTTTGATTAATTAATGTCAGCCTGAAAAGTAACTAGTAACTAAAATTATCAGCCAAATGTAGTGAGTAAAAAGTACAATATTGTTCTGCTAAATGTAGCCAAGTCAAAGTATGAAGTAGCAGAAAATGAAAGTACTCAAGTGAAGTACAGAGACCACTGTAGTGCAGTGCTAGAACAAATGTACCTCTGATTTTACACAGTGGCCTCTCAATGTACTTAGTTACATTCCACCTCTGATTTTACACAGTGGCCTCTAGGAGTGCAGTATATGCCCAGTTACCAATAGGATACTGTAGAACTTCAGTACTGTATGTAAGGAACCTCACATTCAGTTACAGAAATGGACAAACTTTACACCCTCCCACAAAAGACTGAAGTTAAAAACTGGAGATAACATCCGTCAAGTTGCCCGAGACTGGACTCTAAATGGACATGAATGTTGTTACATGTTGTAACTGCTGAATGTGTAAATTGGCAACTGTTGTCTAAGAAGCACCATAATAACCTAAAATACGGTCTCAGTGTTGTGCTGCCATCAAGTGGGCAAAACCCCCATTATCTCAGGTTTAAGGCTCAGGGCCACCAGCAAAAACAACTAAATAGGAGACAAACTCCATACATTTTTACTGAATTAACTATGACTCCATAGTGACACTGGAAGGAATGGAAAACTGATATTAGC